AGGCATGCCCCACCACACCCAGCTAATTTTTGTATTTTTAGTGACGCATGCCAGGAAAAGCCACATGAAACTGCTATTTCTTTTTTTTTTTTTTTTTGAGACGGAGTTTCACTCTTGTTACCCAGGCTGGAGTGCAATGGTGCGATCTCGGCTCACCGCAACCTCCGCTTCCTGGGTTCAGGCAATTCTCCTGCCTCAGCCTCCTGAGTAGCTGGGATTACAGGCACACGCCACCATGCCCAGCTAATGTTTTGTATTTTTAGTAGAGACGGGGTTTCACCATGTTGACCAGGATGGTCTCGATCTCTTGACCTTGTGATCCACCCGCCTTGGCCTCCCAAAGTGCTGGGATTACAGGCTTGAGCCACCGCGCCCGGCCGGAACTGCTATTTAAAATAAAGTTTACCACTGTAATGTCTCTCAAATCTTCACTGAGATTTTCACAGTTTAGGCCCTCATCATATCTGTCTGGATTAGCACCAAACCCTCCTCACAGCCCATTCTCCCCTACCTTGCTGCCAAAGAGCGCATTACTCCACCGCCTCAATGGTGGCAGTTTCTTGTCCCACAGCCCACATATCTCAGCATGGCAAGCAAAGCCCTTTATAACTTTACCTTTTAAAGCTTGTCTTCAGCCTCTTTCTTTTGTCTAACATTTCTGGATCATTTATTTAAATGCATTGATGTCTGGTGCTTCAGGCCTCTGGGCCTTTGCACATTCTCTTCTTTGTCTGACACTCTCACAACACCCTCCCACAAACTTAATCCTTATTCAAACTCCACTTATTTTTGAAGCATTCCTTAATCTTGCCAGGAAGATTTTTAATTTTTCTTCCTCCATAATTATGAAGATAATGCATCTTTACCATGGAAAAAAAAATTAGAAAATAAAGAAAAGTTGAAAAAATAAAGATATCCAAAATTCTACTCCTCAGTCCTAGGCAGATATGTCTGTGTCCTCATTTCTGTAAAGAGCCCATTACAATTACTTGAGGTTGTTTAAGGTAACGGTTTAGATGTAAGTTTTCATTGCCAGCCTGAGAGGTTGGTGTCAACTTGTTATCCCTGAACTATAACATAAAGCATGGAAATTAGCAGATACTTCACTGGTAGGAAGAAATGAACATAATTAAGGCAATGCAAGTAACTGCTAATTTAAATTTTATTACTGCTGGTATTGGTAGTCCTGTAAATACAGTCAGAGGAATTCTCTCAATAGATGTTGGCTAACAGATTATTAAAAATTCTGCTACTCTTTTTCCTTTGGTCCTGCTCCTTCTTTGTGCATTATTTTAAACCCCCTTTCCTCTTCTTGATCTCTAAGAAACAAGTCAATTAGGAAAGTCCTTCAGTATAGTCAGCATTGGCAATGCCCTGGTGTGAAGGACAGAAGACTGGCATAAGGTGCAATCTCCTGGCATGGGGGACGAACACCAAGTCTAGTCTACCAGTGTCTGACTCTTCATGGATTGTCTCCTGAGGCTTAGTGCTCTCAGTACGAAAAGAGATAATAATATTCCCTCTGCTTGTCCCATGGAGTTGCTGTTAAGATCAAAGAGGGAAATATTCTATAAAATATAAATGTAAGGTAATATGGTGGACAGCTTCTAAAATGGTTCCCAATGACCCAGAGGTGTCTCCTGGTATTCACACCCTTGTATAGACCCTTATCCACTGTTGGGGTTACAGGGATGGTCTCTGTGAGCAGTAGAATATGGCAGAAGTGATGGAATGCCCCTTCTGAGACAGATTAGAAAAGACTGTGGCTTCCATCTTGGTGGGGATGCATTGTCTTCACCTCTCTTCCCCCATCTCTCTTTCTCACCTCACTCACTGGGAAAGCTAGATGTCATGTCAACTATGGAGAGGCCCAAATAGTGAGGAACTAGAGCCTCTGGCCAGCAGCCAGTAAGGAACTGAGTGAGGCCTGCCAACAATCATGTGAGTGAAGTTGGAAGTGGACCTTCCCTTTCCAGCCAAACTTTTAAGTTTATTTTAACCCTGGCTAAGAGCTTGACAAACTCCTCATGAGAGACCAGGCATGAGCTAGAACCACTGAACTAAAGCCACTTCTGCATTTCTAGCTCTAAGAAATTGTGCAAAATAATGACTGTTGTTTAAAGATACTAAATTTGGGCTACTTTGTTACACAGCAATAGCACTGGATAACATATGGGTGATGTCACTAGTGCCCAGCCGCATTTATACCATTTCTAAAGGTAATATTAAAATGAAGCACTGGCTGGGCATGGTGGCTCATGTCTGTAATTCCAGGACTTTGGGAGGCTGAGGCTGGAGAACTACTTGAGCCCAGCAGTTTGAGACCAGTCTGGGCAACACAGTGGGATCCCATCTTACAAAAGATTAAATTAGTCAGGTGCAGTAGCTCACACCTGTAATCCCAGGACTTTGGGAGGCCAATATGGGAGGACCACTTGAACACAGGAATTTGAAACCACCCTGGGCAACATGGCAAAAGCCTGTCTCTACAAAATAACAACAACAACAACAAAATTAGCTGGGTGTGGTGACTCATGCCTGTAGTCCTAGCTACTTGGGAGGCTGGCATGGGAGGGTCACCTGAGCCCAGGAGCTCGAAGTTACAGTGACGTATGATAGTTCTACTGTGCTACAGCCCGGGTGACTGAGCAGGACCCTACCTCTAAAATAGAGACAAAAAACTTAGAAATAAGTACACAACTGATGCAGCTGATATTTCATTACAGACTTTCAGTTAATAAAAAAAAAAATTAGTCGGGCGTGGTGGCAGGTGCCTGTAATCCCAGCTACATGGGAGGCTGAGGCAGGAGAAGCACCTGAACCTAGAAGACGGAGGTTGCAGTGAGCCACGATCGTGCCACTGCACTCCAACCTGGGTGACAGAGTGAGACTCCATCTCAAAAATAAATAAATAAAAAGAAAAATAGTTCAAAAATATCTAAAAATAAGGTCAAACATCACATACGTGAATACAAACCTATCAACAACTTGTCAGAGAAAACATTGCAGTAGTGTAAGAGAACCATGAGAACAATCTTTGTCAATAGGACAGCATCGAGACAGGGCAAAAAAATACTAGGAGAAATAGAGCTTAGGCTTTAGAAAGCCTCCATGAAGGAAGGCACACCAGAATGCTGTTGGAAAGATGCTAGAGCAAAAGTTAGTACACAACATAATAGAGTTAAAGAATGTGAGGCCGGGCACGGTGGCTCAAGCCTGTAATCCCAGCACTTTGGGAGGCCGAGGCGGGTGGATCACAAGGTCAAGAGATCGAGACCATCCTGGTCAACATGGGGAAACCCCGTCTCTACTAAAAATACAAAAAATTAGCTGGGCATGGTGGCGCGTGCCTGTAATCCCAGCTACTCAGGAGGCTGAGGCAGGAGAATTGCCTAAACCCAGGAGGCGGAGGTTGCGGTGAGCCGAGATTGCGCCATTGCACTCCAGCCTGGGTAACAAGAGTGAAACTCCGTCTCA